TGACAAATGATAGAACCTATTTCCTTGATTCTGGCACTGAGGTGAGGAATATTGCACAGACTGTCACAAGAGGTTCAAGGGTCAGTTGGTTTTGCATAACTGTTTTTCACTGATATCAGGAAGAGTTCAATGACCAGGGAGGCCAGGCCATACCTATAAATGACTCAGATACAAAAACAAAGAGCATCAATAAAGGGCTCTTTTTTAATGACTGAGGGCAGGGGGAGAGGAGACACAGACAAGCACCAATTAAGCACCTACTAAGTGCTAGGCACTCTGCTAAGCACTTCACAAACACCTCACTGGACATCATTCTCATCCCTGATCACACAGCTGGTACTTTCTGAAAACACGAAGCCTAATAAATGCTCACATCAAACATCTCACTCCACCCTCACAAGAGCCCTGGCAGGTAGATGCTATTATTATCTCCAATTTACAGATGATGAAATGGAGGGAAAAAGAGTTAAATGATGTGCCAGGGTCCCACAGCTCTATCTAAAACTCAGGTCTTCCTGACTCCAGGCCCAGCACTCTGTACACTATGATACACATACCAAAGCAAGGTCTCATCTGCGCTGAGAGTTTCTTCTATCAATGAAATCTCAGCTTCAGCCATCTCTAAACCCTCTCCCATCCCCCAATCAATGAGTGATACTTTACATGACAACAGCACCTTTCCTTCCAACTTGTCTCACTTATTTTCCAGAAATGAAATCTCTCCTCTCCCCATCATAAGTTTGAAAAGGCTCTTGAAAAGTTAGCAGTTCATCTAGACTTGGCCTATAGAAGAGAGAAAAATCAGGTGAAGTACAATGATACAGGCTGGTCTACATGACCTCTGAACATACTGGTCAGTGGCTTTTCTCTTCATTTACTATATGCACTGTAAAGAAAAATTCTGAAGTTTGCCAACAACAGCAAAATCTACCTTATTTCATATATACACAAGATAGCTTTGCATTTTTCATCCAGATAAAAAGCATGATGATAATTACACATTTCCTATTTAGTCATCAACAGAGATCAGTATCATAGGAAAACAGAATTTCTGACTTATACACAACTAATTTAGATGGAAACTCTGGTGTCCTGGATAAAAATAAAGACTAAAAATTTTAGAATTTAAAATATAACTTTCCTCTTCAGCTAAAATATTTCACAAATATTATTGTGAGAATGCTGAAAACATCCATCCCTCACATAAGATATAAACAAGTTCTAGTTACATTTTATAAATGGAAAAGCTGAAGCTGAGAGACATTAAGCAAGTTATACAACACTGAAATTCTAGCATTGATTCTACTCTCTCAGGCTCTATCTACAGGGGAACTTTGCTTAAGAATCACTGGAAAGTCTGCTTTCTGTTCCCTTTTATTGTTTAAAGCCACGGCTGGACTTTTTTAAGCACCTCAATCTTTGTTAGCCATTCAACGGATATGTTTAAGTTTCTCTGAGTTAAAGCTGACTGTAACACTTCCAAAAGTGTTCAGTAAATTGTTAGGCATCAACCAAAATAAATCAAGTCACGGTCACAGACAAAACATACTTGGCTTATACTCTCAGAACACTGAAAAATGATTGCTTATTTATAGAGCTACAAACAAGTTGTTGCAAATGTTCTCTTACCAAAGGAAATATGTTTCAGAAAAAGTGTTTGCTTACTCTTAAAAATCATCCTTATTTCTGAAAGATGACAAATGTTATCTTGTGCTGTGCCTTTCCCAACACACAAAGTCACTTTCTCAAATGGAATTACCCTGCACTGAATACACAATGGCTAATCTGAAAAGCATCGCCATCACAACTACATATCCAGCATATTACTGCACCTGGTATGTTGTAGGCATTCAATAAATGCTTGTTGACTTGACAGCCTCCCCTCTTCTTACACACTTACACACACACACAGCCTTTAATTTCCCCCTTCTCTCTTGACATACAGTCAACCTAACGGATCCAAACTGTTGAAAATGTTGTAATGCTAAGGTTGGGTTTTAGCTTGATTTGTTCTTTAAAAAAAAGGATTTAGCCCATATGTATGTTCTACAAATAAGTCTAAGATAATGTTCATAAGAAGCCTAAAAAATTGAATTCAAATTGGCTAAATATTAAAATTAAGAATTCTGAAATCATCCCTCTCCTACACAGCACTACGTAAAAATACAGGTGTTCTGCTGCCTCCTGAAATTGAACCAATACCCAGAATTCCTTGGTAGCAAAATAAGACAAATTAAAAGAGTCTCTCTTTCCCTATTTCTATTTGGCTTCTTTAAAAAAATTGCTAATTAAAAAGCCCTAACCAAGGCTTCCTTTAAGTCCCAAATAAAATCCTACCGTCTACAGGAAGCTTTCTCCAACTCCCTTAATTCTAGCACCTTCCCTGTTAATTATTTCACATATATATATGAAATATGAAACATATCCCGCATGCACTTAACGAGTTTTCTTTGTTTATATGTTTGCATACTGTCTCCTCTATTGGATTATGAGTTCTTTGAGGACAGGGAAGTCTTTCCAGATCCCCCTCAATTCCGGTGGCTTCCCTCTCCTGATTACCTCCTAATCATCTCTGCCTCCTTTTGTATCCCCAAGACCTACTAGGTGCTTAATAAATGTTTATGGATTGATTGTGCACAACTCAAATTTACTAATTTCTTATCCACAATTAAGATACCATCTTTTAAAAACAAAGATGATTCTACTGATAATATTATCCATGTATGAACTTGAAGTTGTTTTCACAAGAGTTATGCTAGCCTCATACATTTTCATTCAGCCTTGCTAAGAGGCACACATTTGGGCTACTCTGACCAGCTTAACCTGACACCAGCAGAAACATTACATCTAAAATAAAAGATGAGAGGGGCAACAGGGTGGTGCAGTGGATAGAGCTCCCATCTTGGAGTTAGGAGGACCTGAGTTCAAATCCAGCCTCAGACACTTGACACTTACTAGCTGTGTGACCCTGGGCAAGTCACTTAACTCCCATTGCCACACTGAAAAGTAAAATAAAAGATAACACTCCAGGCTGAGAGCAATAAAATCAGAGTTTATTTTAGCAAGATGACCCATAGAACTGGAACAATAATTCCCTATTTACATCAATATTCTCTCTTATATAAATGCATATAAATCCAGGCATAATTGTCACCTGTCCAATTTTGATTTCAACAGATTACCACATTCCTAGAGTCATCCATTCCCGGATTAACAGTTCTCAAGACTTTTCCCTGAGCCCAAAAATTCCTAGTTATGCCTTTAAAGGGGCTAGAACCTTCCTCAAGTTGTGTCCTGCTTCCTATATCTAGCAAGATCCAATGTGCTAGGGAAGTTGTGTTTAATATCTTATCAGATTTTGTCTGATATATACACCAAAAGAAGAAATTATCTGTAGGAAGTCAACATCTTACAGCTTTGACAATGTAAACAAAGCATATTTTAAAAAAAACAAACCCAGTATTCTCCAAATCTCAAAGGTGGAGGGAACACCAGAGATCTAATCCACCCCTGAGCTTCAGTCCGTGGGCAAAAGAAAAGGTGTTTTTTTTTCCCTGGTTTCATTTTTAAATGTTGAAAGAATATATTTGGAGTTAGACAATTTCATCCTGCACTGTCATTTTCATGGAATCAACAGGGTACTTAGTCAACAACACACAACACTGAGAAGCCAGCATATTCCATCCACTCTTTCCATTTCATTACTACTCCTATCTTCTTCACCACTCATTCCCCTCACAGCCCCTGGACCTGGAAATCACAGAATTTGGGGTCCTTGAGACACACACGGCACTTCATAGCCTTCCCCTCAACACCCTTAGGGCATCGCTGTTCCCTCTACAAACTGCCTTCCCCTTGGTGAAGGAGCATTCATTCCCCTCACAGCCCTTGAACCCCAGAATCTGAATTTGGGAGTCAGAAGGTTCCATCTAGAACAACACATCCTGGAAAAGGATCCCATCATAACTACGTGTCCAGCACATTACAGTGCCTGGTATGTTGTAGGTATTCGATAAACGCTTGTTGACCTGACATGACAGCTTCCATCTCTCTCTCTCTCTCTCTCTCTCTCTCTCTCTCTCTCTCTCTCTCTCTCTCTCTCTCTCTCTCTCTCACACACACACACACACACACACACACACACAGAGCGCCTTCAATGCCCCCCTTCTCTCTACACTGGTCCTGCAAGGCCTCACGATGCCTCCTAGTGACTTCTCCCTCAGAGGGCCCTGTAATTTAATTCACACTCACAATCACACAACACAAGGTCCTGTGATTTTCATTCCTTCTTACACACACTATAGGAAGTCTTTCCAGATCCCCCTCAATTCCGGTGGCTTCCCTCTCCTGATTACCTCCTAGTCATCTCCTATCTATATAGGTCCAGAGTCCACAGTGGTTTTTTAGGTCGTCTCCCACCTCCAGGGCAGGGCCCCTCTTTGGCCTCTTTTGGTATCCCCAGCTCTTAGCATATGGCAGAGTAGGCGCCTAATAAACGCTGATTGACTGACACATGGCCTTACCAAGTTTCCCCCTTCCCCTCCCCTGCACACAAACACCCGAGCCTACCTTAAATACACTCACTCCCCCCTCCCCTGCACACACATATACATACATATTCGCCCCTCCCTTGCACACTCACTCCTCCTCTACAAACACATATACAAACTCTCTCCCCCTCCCCTGCACACACATATACACGTACATATTCGCCCCTCGCACACTCACTCCTCCTCTACAAACACACACAAACTCTCTCCCCCTACCCTCCATACAGTCCCCCTCCCTTGAACATTCACTACCTCTCTTGCGCACATACGCCCCCCTCCTGCACACATACAGACTCACCCTTCTCTCGCACACACACCGCCCCCTCTCCCTTGCACATACACTGGCTCTCCTGCGCACACACACACACACTCCCTCCCCCTCCCTTGCACACCTCCCCCTGCCCCATACACACACTCCCTCCCCTGCACGCACGCCCCCGGCCCGCTCACCCTCCCGGCAGCGCCTCCTCCAGATGGTGTCCGTGTTGAGGATGCGCCGGAACTTGGTGCAGACCTGGGCCAGGCTGGGCAGGTCGGTGCCGGGCAGGGAGGCGAAGATCTCCACCAGGAGCTCGGGAGGCAACTCGAGGAGTGAGCAGCGCGCCGGGGCCGCTGGGGGCTGCGGGGCCTGCGGGCAGGCCGAGGCAGAGGCCGGGCCCCCAGAGCCTCCTGCGCCCGCCGGGCCCCCAGTCGCCAGGCTCGCCCCCGGGTCCCCCGCGGCTCCGCAGGCTCCCGACGGCTTCGGCATGGCCGGGGCGCCCTCGATCCTCTCCTCCTCCGGGTCCGTGTCGGGCTCGCTCTCGGCCGCCGCCCCCGCCGCTTCAGCCGAGCCCTTGCGCTGCTGCCGCCTCCGGCAGCCCCGGGACTGACCCACCCCACAAAGCCGGGCACACACCGCCATCCCGGCTCCTGTGTGACGGGGCCCCCACGCCCCCGCCCCCGCCGCTGCCTCCGCGCACGCGCGCGCCTGCGCTGCCGCGCCGCGCAGCCGCCCCTGCCACCCCCGCCGGGGCGGAGTCGGCCCCGGCCTTGGCCAATGCCGCCACACGCCCGAGCGGGCACGCGCTCGCACTCCCGCCTCCCCGGCCTTGGCCCCGCCCCCTATCCTTCTGCCCCTCCTTCCGATGAGGCCAGGCCCCGCCCCCTCTCTTTCCCCGTGTGACGACACAGCTGGCACGCCTGTCCCCCGAAGCCACGCCTCGGTCCTCTCCAATCGCCGGGAGTCCAAAACTGGCTCTTTAAAGGCACTCCCCGCCCCAGGGGTCTAGGTCCCGCGGCTCCCGGGGTACTGCGCTTGCGCTGAGTGAAGCTGGACGAGCCGAGATTTCCACCCGCAGCAGCAGCTGCTCCCCTCAGGGTCTTTAGAGCTCCCATGCGCCACAGGACGTCAACAAGCATTTATTAAGTGACTACTGTGTGCCAGGTGCAGGGTATGCAAGTACAATGAATGAAACAACCCCTGCTGCAGGGAGCTAAGGCATCTATTAAGCACCCACCGTGTGCCATTGACTGAGTGTACAAGCACCATGAATGAAAGGAGCTTAAAAACATGTTAAGCACCTACTGTGTGCCAGGCTTGGGGTCTCTTAAGTACAACGAATGGAACAAAAATCCCTGCTCCGAAGGAGCTGACATTGTAATTGGGGCGAACAAACAAAGGCGTACAAAGGCATACTCGGCATAAGTACAAAGTCAGAGCTGGGGCCCGTGGACTATGTGGACGACTGTACTGTACGAGATGGGTTTCCTTTGCAGCCCAATGCATTTAAAATGTAATCCTGAGACGTCTGTGACCTCCTTGACAGCCTTTCTTTGTCTCCCCAATGCACTTAGTAGGCGCTTAATTGTTGACTCGACTTGTAAAGGGGGACGGGGATATTTCGCACACGCACCGACAAAGGAATCCAAGATACAAAAGCAGTTCAGAATCACCAGCACCACCACGCCTTCATTATCCATAAGAGGAAACAGGCCCAGAGGCAGGAAGTGACAGCTCCCTGCTGCGCTCACAACCGCCCCCAAGATTTTGCAGTGCAGGGCTCTGTCTGCTTTGGCTATCCTTCCTGTACCTTGGCCAGCCTATCTTGTTACATTGCAGCACCCAGCTCCCTGCCCGGCACCGAGCCAGAGCTGGGCAGTGTAATTTCCACTTAGGAAAGGCGATGGGGGGGGTGAGGGAGGAGACAGGGAGTTCTCTCTTTCCTTAACCCTAAAGGCGCCAGGTTTTGCTATGATAATATAGAGAAAACAAGAATTCGCTTTCCCAACTCAAACCTCGTTTCTTCCAGCTCAAGCAGCATCGTCCTTTAACGTCCCTTCAAGATTGGTTCTAAAATAACCCAGGGAAGTAAAATGGTTGAAAAACTGATCGTGGATGCCCCGTGTGAGGATCGAACTCACGACCTTCAGATTATGAGACTGACGCGCTACCTACTGCGCTAACGAGGCTCCTTAGCAACCACTCCCATGAAAGGGCTTTTGAATAAATTTATGAGCCTAGCAGCTGGATTTCTTTTATTCCTTCTTTTCTTTCTGCACTATTTGAAATATATATGTTCCCAATTTTTTTTAAGAAAAGACTAGATTCGAACTTTTAAAATCAATTAAAACCTCCCAGGCGTTAAAAACGCATTCCTTGAATTAAACTGTCAGTATCTTTAGGCTCCAAAGCAATAAAACTAAAAGTGAAAGAAACCAGGTTCCAATTTGCCATCACGTTCTTCTGGGTGGGTATCCGTCTCCATTGTAGAAATCCATTAATAATTTTATAGCTATTAATTATTATAAAATCTATGTAGAATGCAGGTAATATACTTCTCGCAGGATGCAAGTGCTCATTAAATGCTGTTTTAACTCAATAGCTGGCTCTGTTAGCTGCAGACTGTTCTTTCGCCTTTAAAAAAAATAAATTCGTGGACACCCTTCTCTTCTTTTGAAATCCAATTTACCGCCGCCATCAATTAAGTCCTCTGCAGCTGATGCCCAGTGGTTGCAGGGCTCGCTCTAGATGCACCTTAGATAACAAAATTTTTTGAATGATCCTTTGGATTTGAAGAAAGGAGATGATAAACATTTCCTCTTCCTTAATACATTGTATCCTATTTTAAACCTAGGTATGTTTTACATGATCCATTTTCCAGTTCATGCAAATTAATTTTTATTTTTTATTTTTAATAAAGTGTTCTATATTTATATAATATATAATTTTATATACTACATATAATTTTATATACTTTATTTTTCCAATTACTCATAAAACCAATTTTTAGCCTTTTTTTATTTTGAGTTCCAAATTCTCTCCCTCCTTCCCTCCCTTCCCTCTCCCTGAGACAGCAAGCAATTTGATATAGGTTAGACATGTGCAATTATACGAAATCTATTTCCATTAAATTAATTTTTTAAAAAACTTAAGATCAAATAATGATAGAATTGGAGATGATTTCTAAAAATCTCTTAAGCTCTCATAGACTACCATTCCAAGATTCTAAATCTAGTTTTTCTAAAACTACCAATTTTCACAGATATTCTAATAGAATTATGTCTACCAAGACAGTAAACACACTCTGCCTCACCCTAACAGCAGCAGCTTCGAAATAGCTCCAGCTTTTCAAAATTACAAAAGACAGTTATAAAACAGTGCTACCTGCTAGGAAATAATTTTATTTTGTTTTTCTCATATTTTGATATTTCCTTCTTAGCATGTGAGTTAGACTGTTAAATCAACCAGTCAAGCTGGTTTTTGCAGCCATTTGGGGAATGCACTTTGATTAGCCTTTGTCCAGTTATGAAACATAAATAAATATAAAGCAGATTTTATAATGATCTATGTTTACTTCCAATAGAACTCTTACAGATACTTTATCAGGCTTTGATTAAATGACACCATGTACCAATATATGTGTGTATGTGTTTGTGTGTGTATATATGTGTATACACACACATAAACACATACATACATATCTACAGACATAGATGTGTATACATCTGTGCATACATATGTGCATATATTGTATGTATGTATGTATATACATAAGTGTATGTATATACATATTGTATTATGGTGTTGTACATATATGCACACAGAAATGTATATGCACCTGTAAAACGATGCCTCCCACATAGAACTTAATAATTGTCCAGAACTTTATATATGTACATATACACAGATTATTCTATAATTTATAGAAATAAACCCACATAAATTCTTGGCAATTATTGAAGCTCTATGTATGTGAGCTATCACTATTAATAATAATCAATCAATATCTAAATAATATATTGTTGCATTATATTAATATATCTTAATATATTATATAATAATACATAATGACACTAATAATAACAACAACCAATTATTAATAATAATCAATCATTTATTAAGCACCTACTATGTGCCAGGCACTGTGCTAAGTGCTGGAGATACAAAAAGAGGTAAAAGACAGTCCCTGTTCTCAAGGAGCTTACAATCTCATAATAATGATGATGATGATGATGATGATGATTTCTCAAATACAGGCTTGTTCATTAAATATTAAAGCTGGAAGGGACCTTAAAGGCCATCTGCTCTGATTACCTCATTTTATGGTACTCCAAGTGCCCTCATGAATTCTTTATAATGTACATTATGTTAGTGTCTCAACCACAACAGCAACTCTGATCACCAAAAAGCTAAAATCACACACACACACACACACACACACACACACACACACACACTCTCTCTCTCTCTCTCTCTCTTCTCTCTCTCTCTCTCTCTCTCTCTCTCTCTCTCTCTCTCTCTCTCTCTCTCTCTCTCTGGAAGCAAGAATACATTAGTTTTCCATTCTAGTTTCATCTTTTCCAGTAAACCAGTTTTGTAACCTTAGACAAATCCTTTTACCTCCCCAGTCCTCATCTTGAATATAGGGGATTGGAGTAGATGCTCTCTAAAATCTCTTAAAGTCCTAATACTCTGCAATTTTATGATTTTCAAGATTATAATGGCCAGCCTTCCTAGTCTACTAACCAATGAGTATGTTTAATGGGAAACTTTCCATGAATAAACACAATGAACAAGATTCAACAGGAGAACAATGGAGGGGGTTCATCTCATGACAATCGCTCTGTATTTAAATAGATCATCACATGATGATTTAATAATCTTTCTCTTCCCTTTCTGTGTAGAGGAGAGATTTTTTTTACCAGACTTTGTTCCTCCTTTCCTTTTAAGCCTGTCTTTCCATGAAAACCTTACTTTCATCTTTCTTTCACCTTGATTTATTTATCTCTTCTCTTTAAAATATTTTTTATTCAATTCATCTCTTACTCTTGTGTATGGAATGACATACATTTTTATAGCCCACTGAATCTCAGAGATTCATCAGAACCAGGGAAATGTTTAGGCGTTTTAGAGCTAATATTTAGGCCCTGCCCCACAATTGCTTCTTGTCATGACCCCACTATATCAGGCTAATACAGAAGATAGTTTGGGGCTATGTCAGGGTCTACTGTGCAAAACTGGATCTTGCCAATCAGGTGAAGAATTTTATTGCTCTAAGGACAACCTCAATGTCTTTCATCTCTTACGCCTCTTCAGGGAGGCTTGGGAATACCAGTAGACAGGATCACTCATGAAGTTTAAAGAGTAGATGTGAGTGCAGGAGGACAGTAAGCTTTTGCCCTGAAGTTTGGACAAAATGCAGTACAAAAGGCAGAATTTCTTTTTCTTTTTCTTTTTTTTTCAGTTGGCATACATACATAATAAAGGACAAGGGAGTTAACAGCTCTGGACTTCCCCATTTCATTCAACTGCTGTTCTTGAATGTTAGAAGCAAGATGAGCATCAAACCCCAAGCCTCCACACAGCTGCTGAGGAGTCATGGGGAGGCTCCATCAACTCAAGTATTTAGGGAATACAGAATCTCCATCACGGGTTTAATAAGAACTA